CCACGAATTTCAACTATAAATTCAATTAGAGGAATCATAAGTTTATATAATATTTTCTTATATTTTTTTTTTTTTCTTTTTTCTTTTTCTAATAGTAGAAATTATTTCAATCACATTTAATTAATTTATTCTTTTTTGTTTTGAATCTTGTTATACAAATGTTCCTTTATTTTCGATGGGACGATTTAAGAGAGTAAAGTTAAGCATAAGGGTGCGAGAAGGGTGCGGGAAAAAAGGGTGCGAGATCGCGTGCAAAGAAGTTGAAAACTCGTATCTTTCTCTTTTTCTCTTTCTCTCTTTGTTTGTTTCTTTCTTTCTCATTGTTAATGTTCCATTGGTTGCTACCGCAGAATATAAAAGGGGCAAAATAAGGGTAGGGAAGGGAAGGGAAGGGAAAGGAACGTAATAGATAGTAAGCACGGACTTCGGAGCCCTGGGAGCACCCGTAATTGGAATTAATTAGAGGCGTTTTGCGAACCGCTGCCCACGAAGAATCCTCCCTATATACACGACTACACATAGGTAATCCCTTTTATTCTCCTTTTGCCCTTTAAGGAAGACGAATCGACGATCTTTCCCTATCGAGCCTCTTACGGTTTTTATACTGCTAAATTCTTCCACAGGGTCACGACATAGCGTCATTTAAAAAAAAAAAAACTTTCTCGCAACAATTGTAGGATTCGTATTTTGTTTTTTCTTCTTTCTTTTTTAAATATTTTCATTCCCTACACCCTCGATTCATAGTTTAAACATAATTTGGAATTTTAACCATATACGACGAATGATTAATTCGATGATTATTAACAACACTTTTGCTTTTCCTATCACCCTATATATTTATTTCTTTCTTTTTCTTTGAGGTTATACTTTTGGCGCGTTAAAACGATGCGAGTGAATTTTTACGATGCGCGCGCACAGCGACACGTGATTAACGGAATGAAGTTAGTTGATWWTTACGATGCGCGCGCACARCGACACGTGATTAACGGAATGAAGTTAGTTGATAATTACGATGCGCGCGCACAGCGACACATTTTCTATTTTATCTATAATATAATAACAACGAATTTAATTTGTAAACGAACGTTTAGATATTATTACATTTTCCGATGCGATGATAAACACAAAAAAAAAAGAACACTCTAATAAAAGGTAGGAAGAATAAAATGAAAAGGAAAAGAGGTTAGATGAATGGGAGGTAGATTTTAGGGCCGTTTTAATTCGATTATTTTGTGTTTTACATTGTCGAACGAACAGTGACGAGATAATGCGATAATTGGATTGGTAAAAGAGAGTAGAGATTTTTTTGCGTCCACGGGAGAGGATGGGAGGGGGGAGGGAGGGTGAGAGAGAGAGAGAAGTTTAGGTGAATGGCGCATTCAACGGAAATGATGGGCCCAATCCCGTAGGGACAGAGTCTCCCCCCTTGGTCTTCGTGTTCATAGTATAATGTTCAAGTGTGTGTGTGTGTGTGTTTGTATGTGTAGAGAGGAGGAGGAAACAGGGTGTTGTGGAATGTCGCGTGCTTCTAATGACGGATGAGTGGACACAATGATAGAAAGAGAAAGAGAGAAATAGTTGAGATCGTTAAAATGAAACGAAGTGAACGAGCATGTGATTGGTCGACATTTTAAATTAACGATCCCCCTCTATCTATGCGAATCGATCTACGTTTCCTATTCGTTTTAAAAATAGATAAATAAGTATTGATAATACGTATAGATATATATATATATATATATATATATATATATATATAAACCATACGCGAGTCCCTAAACACACAAAATTATAATTCTTAAAGTAATAGAATTTTTTAGAAGGGAGACGCGGGGGGGGGAAGTAAGAGTAAAGAACGGAAAACACAACGGTGCAAAACTATTTTTTTTCTTTTTCATTTTAAAAAGAATAAATAAAATGGATAATATAATTACTAAGTTTAATTCTTAGGGATGTTTTTTTTTTTTTGGACAGGTTTAAATTATTATAGTATATTATATAAGTATTATGACTGTAATGAGAAATGATGTTAGATTGATTAGTGAACATAACTATCAAGTTGCTGAGGAAGTCCCGCATATAGGGACGAAACGTTCAACGGATAAATAGATTGTTCATTTAATTTAAACTGTCCAAAAAAAAAAAACATCCCTAAGAATTAAGCTTAGTAATAATGTTAGAAAAATTTTGGATAAGAAAAAATAAAAATTGTATTATATTAACATTAAATAATATAATATATATCTGATACAAATATATAAAGCCACGCGAGTTTATACAAGAAAAAAAAAAAAAA